CCCCAAAACCCCAAAACCCCAAAACCCCAAAACCCCAAAACCCCTTATTTTTTAATAATTATTGAAATGGAAGGATTTAGAAATAGTAAGTCCTAATTATCCATGTAGTGAGCCCTCTATATCGCTACATGTGGTCAGGAAGTCCAGTTATATATTAACCCATAGATAAATACCGAACAGATATGATACAGCTAAGACCAATCATCGAGACTAAAGTTATAAATCCTCAAAGCAGAATGCCAAACGTATAATTTACTTAAAAGTCTTATTTTGTGTAGATCAAACCTACTAAGAAGGAAAGCGGGCTTAATGAAGATCTTATGGCAGTCAAACTTGTATTGTGAAATTTTTATAATAATAGACCCCTGTAAAATAAAGCAACAAGAATTTCGAAAATCATTCTAGCTGGTAAATATTCATACCCATATCAGATTCTAAGTTTCTTTAGTTAAAAGTGAAAACAAGAATGATAAAACGAAGCGTAAATAACATAATTTACTTAATAATAGCAAAGGAAAATCTTGGAGACTTGATCAGAAATTCAATGAATAAAAACTGGGTTACTCCAGCCAAAGAGAATAGAGAAAAAACAAATAAAGATGATGATGAACTATCAAATTGCTTAATAACTCCTCTAATTCCAAAAGATAATCACTTGAGGGGAACATTCTCTCCCTCCATTAAAATGAAACCAGTACACATTTTAACCACAAACGATCTCCCTCACCTCTACCAAGACCGGGGCACTTCCTTCAAAGTACCTCCTCTCTAATCCATAGTCAAACACCCAGTCAAAAATCTGCCAAAAATCCTCTGAACCCCCTTCAAAACCCTCTCTCTCCTCTCCTCCAAGCGACCAGTAAGCCCCCTGTTCACACCTAGCCTGACCCAAAAGTCCAAAACTGAATTACTAAAGATCACAGGATTTCAAAAGTTTCCTTGTGCAGCCTCACTGAAAATAAGCCAATTCGAGAACCACAATATGTCCCTTCGGAATACGCTCAAGACATTCAGAAATCCTAACCTTCCACTGGGAACACCAAAAGAAGCAAGACAAGGAAAAATGGATTTTAACGAACAGAAATAAACAGAAGTAAGTTGAAAAAGTTTTATTATAAGGAGAAGAGGGCTTAGAGGGAGATCATAAAGGGAGATAGGAGGATAGGGAGTTAGAAGAGATGTAGGATAGGAATGAGATTTTTAGGGATGGCAAGGGTGGGTCTGAAATTTGTGTAGAACTATGTACAAGTCACGGAGTCTTAGAGCTATACAGAAAGTAGCGAATACAAATCCTTATTTTAATCCAAAAACATCTTATCAGAGTGAGTCATTGTGTAGATAATAATTCTTAGGTGTCAAAATAAAGAAATTTGGAAATAGGCCTGGACCTATCTTCACTAAATACCCCAACAAAAATCTCAACCTGCACGGCCTAAAAATCCCTTTCATCCCCAACCTGCACCCTTCCAAAACCCTTCCCAAATTCAGCCAAACCAGTCGCCCCTTCCTGCCCAAATGTACCAAACAACATTCAAAATAGTTACAACTCTATCACCCATTTTCAAGTGACACCTCCTAAAAAGGGGTTTTGGGGTTTTGGGGTTTTGGGG